CCCCCGGTTCCCACCCGTGTCAGGAACGGTGCCACCCGGCCTTGCTCCAGGGTGAGCAAACGCCGTGAAGGAGCTGGAGCTGCCGGCGCCGGGAGAGGCCCTGACCTGAGCAGGGCAGGCGATAACGTCCAGTTCTCAGCTTGTGCTTTGTGTCTTTTGGTGCTTTTCCAAGAGGTGTCAGGGGGAAGCGAGAGAGCAAAGCTCTCGGTTCAGTTGCTCTGGCTTCTCCATGCGAGGGACCCCCGTGCCTGCAACACCCCTCAGACGCTCCTGGTCTCTTCCAGCGGGCGTGTCCCTCCGTCCGTCCGTCTCGCCCGGTTGTTCAGGGAGTTCCTGGTGACCAGGCTTTTCAACAGGGACGGGTGAAGTGACTTTTCCAAAGTCACCCTGGGAGGTTTGGGACAGCGATGAGGAGTTTGATTCTTCTCACTGTATCAGCAACGTGCAAGCACCGACACCTGCAGCAAAGTGTCCCCAGGGCTTTGTGTCCCCAGGGTTTTGTGTCCCCAGGGTTTTGCGTCCCCAGGGCTTCGTGCCTCCAAGTTAACGACCCCAAGCACTACCCAGCACCTTGTCTGGTGCCCACTGAGGTTTTTGGTCCCCGACTTTTATGGTTTGAGACCCATATGGCTCCTCTTTATTGCTGTCAGTCCGCTCTGCCTCACCTCGACTCTCATCCCTGCAGGGACAGGTCGGGGACATCGTCCTGTGTACAAACCCCTGCCGTGCTGGCTGTCCCTGACCGCTGGGGACACCCTTCATCCCAGCCCGGAGGTGGGGAATCCCTTTTTCCAGGGCCAGTGCTCAGAGGGCTGCGTCTCCAGCACAGCCCTTCCCCGACGGCACACCCGGGGCACTGCGCCCCTGACCCTGCTCCTGTCCCCCCTCACCCCGGGCTCCCCCTGCTCGTGCCAGGCCCCGGGTGCACGCGAGGTGCTCGGCAGAGGTGGCTGGGAGGTCACCAGCTGGACAAGGCACGGGGTGCCCCCAGGGTGCTCACGGGAGGGGCTGGATGCTCCTCAGGTGCTCGTGCAAGGCACGGGGTGCACAGAGGGTGCTCGTGCAAGGGTCTGGCAGAGGGGAGAGGAGGAAGGGTGCTTGTGCGAGGGGCCAAGTCATCCCCCCTCCCCGCTGCCCCATGGGAACAGAGGTGACCAAGGGACCCAGGCACCTAGGTGAGCCCCTTTTGTCCCTACGCCCCCCCCAGACCCAGGCGTCTGTCCCTGTGGGGTCCTGTCCCCAGCCCAGGCACAGGCGTGCGACACAAAGCACAGCTCACACGTATTTTATTTATTGTCCCCAACTGTGACAAAGGGGCTGTGCCCAGAGCGTTCCCAGGCACGAGGGGACATCACCAAGGTGGGGGGGTGACACGGTGTGTCACGGGGGTGTCAGCATACGTTAAGGGTGTCACTGGGGTGGGGGGAACAATGTGGGTGTTTCTAGGGCTGGGGGGGTTTGAAGATGCGTGGGGTGACCCTGCGTGGGTGTGGGGACGGGGATGTCCCTGCATGTTGCTGTGTGTGGGGACACGAGACATTCTTGCGTGTTGCCGCATGCGGGAGGACAGATGGGGACTCACGGGGGACAGGTCTGTCCCCAGACACGTAGCAGGACCCAAGACACGTCCCCCTCCCAGAGATGCCCCTGCTCATCCCACGTCCCCGTGTCCCCCCGCGACGTGATGCCGTGTCCTGCACGTCAGCCCCTGCCCCGGCGCGTCGCCGTGTCCTACCCGCGCTCGCAGATGAGCTCGACGACGCTGTGCTCCATGGGGACGGGGTCGAGGCAGCGGTGGGCGGCGCTGGCGGCCACCTCGTCCAGCAGCCCCT